GGCCAAAAGATAGCCAGATATAAGACGTACTGGTTTTTATTTAAGTTTGTGGGTGGGGGGGGGGGGAATAACATTTGCTGTCACTAGTATTTTTAAAAGTTTAAGGGGAAGGAAGGAAGGAAGGAAGGAAGGAAGGAAGGAAGGAAGGAAGGAAGGAAGGAAGGCCCATTCCTCCAGTCCTGTGAATATTAACAAAGGTGGGAGGACCATTTTCTGCCAAAAGGAACATCTCATTTGGAAAAACATAAAATGATCTTTCTGTTTATATATTTATTTATTTAAAACATTTATTAGCCACCTTTCTACCTTACAGGAACTCAACACAGCATACAATGTAAATTATAATAAAATACATTAAAAAAAATAAAAACCACTAGTTAATCAACCACAGGTTATCAATAAAATACATAAAATACATAAACCACTGGTTTCTTTATCATTTTCTCCCATGTTCTCCACATCTCAGTGTGGTAAGGAATTTCTGAGATGGCAGTTTGGAGGGGCAGTATGCTAGGAGAAAAATTATGTTGCTCTGGAATATCTGCTTTATTTGAAGTCATAAATGCTGAACTGGGTGACCTACATACATGCAGTCCTAATCTTCAAGCAGCGCCAGTTCCCTAAAAGCAACATCTTATCTTGGGTCCCTCTGAGGCTGTGTTGGGGAAAACCTTTCCTCCACCCTAAGCTTTGGAATGTCCCTGCCAGTTAGAACAGAAAATCCCAAGATAGGTTCAAAATAAATCAATGGCTTGACACAAACCATCTTCATACATTCCTGTGTTCCTAAGATGGATTCTTGTCACCTGGCAAGGCTGGGGAAAGCTCCTTCATAAGACTCTGGGGAGATGTGTTAGATGCCTGTTAGATGGTTTAGTATTTAATTTCTTAATTTCTTAATTCAGCAGAGTTTAGCAGAGTAAAAATGAGTCTGAGTCCATGGTAGTTTCAAAATATAAAAAGTTTACTAACAACCTATCAAGGGTAGGGTAAACAGGAGGTAAAATAACAAAGAGCTTTATTTCTACATCCTCATGTCTAGATAGACTTCCTTACATGGCTAAGGTCTAATGGAGAGAGATGGAGACTGGAGCTTCTTCTTGCTCAGGGACAAAGAGCCATAAAATGCTAAATAGTAACACTCCATTCCCCAATCAGAACAACAAACTAGATCTGTATCTGGCGGGCTTTCTAACTCTCTAAGCAGATAGGATACAAACAAACATGTGATTCAGAACACAGACAGCATTAAGTTAGACATGATTCAGTATAAGTTATTTGTTCACTAAGCGCCGATGATAATACTGTGGTTGTAACACGCCATTCTAGGGAAAGCCTGTGGTTCAATGGTGAAGCATCTGCTTGACAAACAGAAGGTCTCAGGATCAATCCCTGGCATCACCAGTTAAAAGGATCTCAAGTAGGCAATATTAGGAAAAACTGTTCTCTGCCAGAGACCTTGGAGAGCTACTCCCAGCCAGAGGAGACTACCCTGAGCTAAGACAGATTGATCACTTGACTCAAAACATGGCAGCATCATATGTTACAAGCACATATGGACGATGCACAACCTACCAAATCACACACAGCCCACCAATCACAGACTGTGGATGCTGGGTGTAACCCTCTCAGTTGTTACCTTACTAGGCAGGTGGGAAAACCAGACAGTTTATTGAGTTCCCGTTGTGTTTTGGCTGAGGAGCTATGTCTAGCTTGGTGGGCCATGTTTAGGACCGAGGCAACCTGAGGCAGTTGAAGGTGCCACTGGAGTGAAAATGATATTTCATTTATTAATTTACATCACTCATACCCTACTTTTCTCCCCAATGGGGATACAAAGCAGCAAAAATCGTTCTCCTCTTCTCCATTTTATCTTCACCACAATGTTGTGAGGTAGGGTTAAGCTGAGGTGGCGTGACTGGCTCAAGTTCAACCCAGCAAATTTCCATGGCAGAGCAAGGTTTTGAACCTCGTCTCCCAGATGCTTTTCTGGCACTCTGACCACGGTGCCACCCTGGCTCTCAAGGCCTAACTTGTAGGGTGAGGAGCTCCCAAGGCAGCAGAGCATGGTATTTTACTATTTGAGAAGTGCTATTTACATTTGCCTCCTTGGATGGCAAAACGTCTTGGGCTAGTCACCTGGACATTTTTTTCAGATTCAAAAAAGATGACAAAGAGTGCAGAAGCCGGCGAATGATCTAGGATCATCTGAAGCCCAGACACCAGTTTGGATAGAAGATCAACAGGAGCCACAAATAACAATAGAATGCAAGTACTATAAAAAAAAAAATTAAAAGATGAGAAGAATCAGTTCTGGATGATTTCTGAACCATTATTACAAGAATACAGGACAAAAGAGCCTACCTTCCACTGTAAGGAATGAAACCACTGGTCCCTCAGGTAACTGTTTGCAGCCTGCAATTAAAAAGGGAGAGAGAGAGAAATAACATAAATGCAACCATTAGATTCTACTAATGCTACACATCATTAAACCAAAACACAAGCCACTCACGTGGTCTTTATCTGGAAAACAGCCAGCAGTTTCATTTGTTTGAACCCATTAACCTTCCACATCTACTACGGGCTTGCTGTGAGCTTCAAGGCCTGTCCTTTGCTGGACGGGAAGGAGAGCTCTCTGTAAACGTTCTAAGAGGCAGCAATTCTGCTCTGTTTCACTTTCAAAAGCAGCAAATAAGCAGGGGTGTAAAATTGAACTGCTCTTCACTTTAAAAAAGAAAAGCAGCAGTTGTCTATTCGGCAAAGTATCTTGGTCATCCAACTGAACCTAAATATCAGTTTCCTCAGCCCTTCAGGATTGGCCTTAATCTCCCTGTCACCTGGAAGGAAAGCAATGGGTGCTCCCCACCACATCGCACCCTTTGGTTTTTCATCATGTTTGCTGAATGCGCTTCCAATAACAGAAGCCATGAACACTGGAAACTGATACTGAATCAGACCACTGCAAGTTCCACATCAAGATCTTCTCATGTTTCAGCCACCTGACTGGTGTGTGTTCCCCCCCCCATTCTCCCACATGACATTTGCGTACAGACCAGTAACATCCCATTCCTTCCACAAACAAAATCTGCAAAACTCCTAATGTTTCTGTTTCATGGGAAAGACATTACGGACACGAGCATACTTTTGTGTATGAAGAGGAAACAGCACAATGGGCCTAAGCATTAGTCAGTTACTTTTCCATGTGTTTTATGACCACAAGAGGCCAGTCCCCTGTAAGAAATTAACATAACAGACTTAAAATGGAAGAAGTAAATGAGGCAAAGAGGACACTGATGTGGTATATGATTACAACAGCTAGAATTATATATGCTCAATGTTGGAAACAAGACAAAATACCTGAAATTGGTGACTGGATAAAGAAGTTACTTTTTATGGTTGAAATGGACAAAATGATGAGGAAACTTAAAAATTTGAAAGCAGAAGAATTTTTCGAAGACTGGAAAGTTTTTAGAGACTATTTAGAAAAATATTGGGATGTAAAAGACAATTTGCTTTGTTTCGAAAACTATTGAAATATAAAGAATAATAGAAAATGGATAAGTGTATAAGAATAACAATTGAAAAATGTGTTACCTGTAGAGTTTGATTATTCAAAAAGGAAGATATGTAAAAGATTTAAGAGATGGGCAGGAGGTTGGAGCACTGTGGGAAGCCATGAAAGGGTGGGGGTAAGAGGAAAAAGGATGTATAACGTAAACTTTGATGTATGTTTGAACCAGGGGTCATTTCGTAGAAAAAGAGCTAGGGGAACTCATTAGCATAACTCATTAGCACAGAAGGAATTATGTGATAGAAGGAAGGGGATCATCAAAGGAGGTTTTTGGGTTTTTTTAAGGTTGCAAAGGTGTTGCATTTATTCCCATCCATCTTTATTCATCCTCGTGGGTTTAAAAAAAAAAATCAAAAAGATGGGGCTCGCTTGCCTTTTAGACAGAGGGAAGAGGATCATTGGATAAGGTTTTGTTGTTGTTGGGATTCTCAGAGATGTCTCTGCAATTATGCATGTGGGTGGGGGTTTTCTAGTTTTTTAAAAAAGATATTTATTTATTTATTATTTATTTATTTGATTTTTATCCCGCCCTCCCGCCGAAGTTCCATGCAGCATTACCCATGCTCCTCAAAACAAAACAAAACCGGAAAATAGGGTGGGTGGAGAATCCTGAGAGTCACAGCGGTAGGGAGGGGCCCTCAATGTGCGTCAGGTATGAAAGGAAAACCATGGCTAAACCTGGAGAGAAAAACTGGAGAGAAAATCCATTACTGTAGGCTGTGGGAAATCATCACTGCAAGGACAATTTCACACAGAGTCACATCAGCAACCAGACAACCATGAAAAATCAGGCTGCACACTGAGACAGCAGGCGCCACCCTCCCCACCATGCTCCGCCTTCTTACCTAAGAGGTCCCACCCCGAGTCTCAAGGGGATATGGAAAGCTAATTTCTTCCCGGTTGTTCAACCCCAAGAATGTGGGCAGAGTTCGAGAGCTCTAACAACAGGAAAGAAGTTGCTTGCTTAAGTGCATTGTTTATGTGCCTGGATTCTGCTGGAGGTTCTTAAATGACATTATTTAGCAAAAAATACAGTTGCCAGCTACGTCAGCAGAGGCAGACAATATATACTGATTTTTTTTTTTTAAAGCCACCATACATACAGAGCTATTTTCCAGCCCAAGGAATGACTGTAATTAATTTCATTTGTCTATCATATTCATTTTCTACCCTCCTTCCAAGGACCTCAAGGTGACGTGCTCATATTATCTTGTGAGGTAGGATAAGCTGAAAGCCTCTATTTGTCCAAAGGCCTCCTCATGAACTCCGCAGTAAAACCAGAGGTTTCCCCACTCCCAAACACAACTGTGCTTTCAGTGGTGCTTACTTTCTGAAATTAGCAACTGCGAGGCTAAAGTCAGGCTAACTGTTAATGCTGTTGCCATTGGAGGCCCTTGCCTGTAATTCCAAATTATTCACAGAACCAGTTGGGTTATTCTGCACTGAAGGAGAGACACTCCACTTGGCAAAATTGGTTTCATCCAGGCCCAGAGCCAGCAGTGAGGTGCTGAGGGCGGTGCCTATTGAATTAGCAGCGCCCCTATCTCTGGGGTCTTCATTGTGCCGGGGCTGGGTGGGTGGCGAGGGCTGCAGGTCGGCCAGGAGGAGGGAGGTTGGTCGTTGTCCCAAGCCCAGCCCCCCAGCAGCCACTGCCCAAGGCCACCACCCTTTCTCCTGCTCCTGGAGCTGTCGGCGGGCCCAGCAGCAGCTGCCGGGCACTCTCGCAGTCGCCCTGATGGGCTGTGTGGTGGAGGGTGGGCTGTTTTGCCCTGTTCCCTGGGAATTTGGCTTCGGATCCACCGAGGGTGGGGAGTTTTAAAAAGGAGACAGACAGATGTCGGGAAGGTTCCTCTCCAGCCAGGATAATGTCAGGTTGCACATTCCTTGCCGGACCGTGACCCCAATAAATGAATATAAAATAATTATTACTTATAAAAAATTACTACTCCTCTTTCTCTCCCCACTCCCTCTCTGGTCTGTTAATTAATTTAATTTAATTATAAAGTTAATATAATTAGCACTCGCAGTGCCTGTCATAGCTCAGCTGGTCTTGCAGACTCCAAGTCCAGGTCACGCAGGCAGTAGCAGGTCATAGGAATGTTCACAGTGTAGTCCAAACAGTGCAAGGTCAGTTGTTACAGTCAAAGAGAGTCCAAAAGCAGAGTCAAGCTGGTCCAAGAGACACAGGGGTAGAGCAGAGTCAGAAGCTGTGGTCGTAGGATTCAATGTGAGGTGACGTGTTGCTTCCACAAGTTGGCAACAGCTCACACCCAGCTTTATGTAGCTTTTCCCTAATTTGTCTTAGCTGCAGCTGGCAAATTAGAAGGGCTCCTGTGATGACTCATCTTGTAGCTGTCGACGGGCCATTAATCTTTTACTCTGTCTGCGTTCTTGCAATTGCCTTCTGATCTTAGCCCTTCTTCTTTCTATGAGGGGGGGAATCTGGGGGAGTCGTGAGTGCCTCCAGAGGTACTTGCTCCCTGACTTATCTGACTGGAATTTCTGAGTGGTCTCTGTTCTGAAGTCATCTTTGGCCACGCCGGACTCAGGCTCGACTTCTGAGGAGTCCTCACTCACACTGGGCTCCAGGTGTCAATCAGAGTGTTCGGGCTGTAAGACTGGTCCTCACCCAGGCTGGGCTCAGGCAGCAAGTCAGAGTCTGGATGCACCTCAGGCTGAGGCTGGTCCACGACAGCACCACAGCGTCCCCCCGGGAAAGAATTCTGGGCTATGGGGCTGGTCTCACCAGGAATTCTGGGCAGTTTGGAAGCTAGACTTGGCTTGGGGCAGCTTGGAGCAGACTCTGCGAGATGAGCAAAGGGGCATTCAACAGCCCACTACCCAGAAAGGCCAGGGACTGAAGCTTCTCATCCTAGAGAGGGAGTTGGACTTACTCCTCCAAGGTGGTGGATTGAGCACAGCTTCAAGACGTCTGACTGGCTTCCGGCATGACAAATGGTGACAACGAAGCTGTACTTGTTCTTTGAAAGGAGCCTCTTGGGACAGGCTGCTGGTACCCCTCGAGGTCTTTTTCTTAGCCTCTCAGTGTTTCTTTACACATTACAGACAATGCTCCCTCTAAGCTATGGAGTCTTGTGAGCAAAAATTCTATTTTGTGAGCTACTGCCATTAAAGCTGTGAGCGAGCGATTTGGCTATTGAATAAATTAGTTTGTTCTGGAGCCATCCTTCCTGAGCGAAGACAAAAATGTGTGAGCCGGAGGCTAAAAAACAATGAACTAGCTCACACTAACTCAGCTTAGAGGGAACACTAATTACAGAGTATGAAATCTTGGGTTTGGGGTCCCCACCTCAAGGCAGACATAAGCACGGAATGCACGCTGTTTGTGGGTTCTCCTAAATTCCTGCACACACAGTGCTTCATTATGGACTGCAAGGATCAAGAGGATTTGTGGTCTGCAGCATTTGTACCCAAGGGCTTTTGAGTACCTGCGATAGCATTCTCCTGTGATGGGGAAAGGAAGGGACTAGTGCCTAACCTGCAGGGTTCCTGGTTCCAGCCCTGCAGGACTCAACAGCACTTAAGTTCAGGGCTGCTGGAAACCGAACAAGTGAATCCCATAAGTTACAGGCCTGCCAGCAAACATACCCTTGCACTATAGCGTCAGCTTCTGCAGACAGTTTGTATTACTCAAGAGGAGCTTGACAACCCGCCTAGGCAGTGAATATACTGTTACAAAGAACAGAGTCATCTTTGCTACAGCTCCTTTCACAGAAACCATCTGAACAATCTCAGTCTTCAAGAGAGTGACCACCTGACACAAGGCAGAGACACTTGCCTGCGAACTGCTTTGGCTCAGCCTGCAACTGCTTCATCATGTTTG